AAACATATTCTCATTATCAGACTAAAACATCCCAGGTTGTCTGATTAATGGTGTGTGCCATGCGATCACCCCGAGCTTTTCCCTCTGCTACCGGAAGTACCTAAAACCAAAACTAAAAACCATAAGCAAAAAGCTTAGTGAGTTCCCCAACCTACCACATACCCTGCATAAACACATATAGCACATACTGGGCCACGCCTGCTATTTAGGGCCTTGCCCCTACCTCGGGCCACACCCGATACAACAACACTGCCGCTCCAGGCCCCGCCTGGCTTCGAGCCCTGCTCGGATACAAATCTGTTTCTTTTAGGCCCCGCTAATCTCATAATACAAAACAACATCTAACACATAACTGAACATACCCTGCTGTATTCCTGTCCTAAGGTCTCACCTGTCTCGGGCCTCGCCCCTATCCTGTTGCTAGTGAGTCCTTGATTCCCATCCAAGATTCTACTGTAAGTGAGATACGGGCCCCCGCCCACACTCACTCCATACCTATCTCGAGCTTCACCCCTGCTCTGCCACTAATGAGATATGGAACATCATCCATACTCTACTATTGGTGAGATACGGGACCTCGCCCACACACACCTCCCTACCAGGCACATACATGCATCACACAGACAACAAGTATACTCTATCATGCAAACCACTCCTTGAGCACCCGCCCAACATTTGACCTTGGTCTTGAATATCATAATAGCAAATAGTGCCTGGGGCTAAACCCCGAGTCTTTCTACTTATAACTACATGGGCCAGAATTGTGGTTGTAGACCCATTCACACAAAGGGAAACTCACCTGCACTATATATATATATATATATATATATATATATATATATATATATATATATATATATATATATATATATATATATCACTTAGATCCAAACTGAACTCTAGAAGCCAACTAAGTCCACTCTTGACAAATTCAAAGTCCTGGTCAAAGTCAACCATCCTGACTGACTTTACTCACCGAGTCAACCCATTGAATCGTCGAGTCTTTATACTTAGAAACTCTCACAATACACCTCCACTCACCGAGTCACCCCGTCGAGTCATCGAGTTCAATGATCTCCGAGTCCCATCCTGTCCAACTCACTGAGTCACCACTCAACTCATTGATCTAAGTCTTAACCAGAAAAGGTTGAGGTTCTAAGGTCCAACTCGTCAAGTCCAAGAACAGACTCGTTGAGTCCAAGGCAATCTTCAAAAGACTCGTTATGTTGTTCTTCCAACTTGTCAAGTTACTGCCTATCTTCATACAACTCGTCGAGTCCAAGAACAGACTCGCTGAGTAGCTTCAGTTCTTAATCCGTACAGTGGCTTTTCGAGCCATGCATGGGCTCCAAACTACAGATCCAATCTTCTAAGGCCCATCTTTCACGTAAAGTTGCAAACTTTACTTGAAACCAAGGAGCTATAGGCCTAAAACTCTCTAGGGCTAGTGTTTGAGACAAACATGCTTCATTAACACACCAAAGGCTGATACTTGATGGGTTTCTGGGCCAAGACAACTCTAGATCTGAAGTTCTCTTTGCTCGCAAAGGTACAAAACACGAATTGGCCTTGTAAATGGCCCAAAATGATAAAATCTAACTAGGAGAGGGAAATATAAATGAATAACAGCCAAGGTATGAGCTCCACACAATCAAATGATCTGAAATAACACACCAACCCAGAGCCCATTACCACTTCTCGAATCACACAAGGTTCCTTTCTTCCTTTTTGCTTATAAGCACCCAAACTCGCTTTGTTCCTTCTCTCACTCAATTTAAGGTTTGGAATCGTGTATAGCAGCTTCTGGCCAACAAGGGGATCTGAGGAGAGAGCATAAGGTCCTTTAAATAGGTTGCCAACCCTCAGATTAGGGGTTTTCTTGTCCAGACTAGACTCGTCGAGTCCAGTCGTCGACTCGCTGAGTTGGTCACTTATATCCCGACACGGAACCAACTCCAACTCCTCGAGTTCACCTATGGACTCGATGAGTTGACCCCTTTGACTTAAGGGTTTCCTTTCCTTTCTTGGTCTTTCTGATTCTGAGTGTTACGGATCTCCCCCACTTCAATGAAACTTCATCCTCGAAGTTTCTTTATGGCCAAACGCCCTGCAATTTGCTTTCAACACTCTGCTTGAAAAGCCTAACACCCGTTGACCACTTCCATCGGCCTTTCGCCCGGTCATTCAGACTGATACTAGTCCTTGCAAATCACAATCCTACGAATACAACTCACTCAACCGAAAATCCTTCCGCTACTCCCCGAGCACTTATGTTGGACATCCTAGGGGTTCACCTCCTTTTCCTTGTGCATTTATTGACCTTCTCAAAGCAACGTTCCATAACCAACTACTTCCCCTGTCACCGTAAAGGACTTATCCTTCACCAAAACCATTACTCCTGCTACTTCCAATGCGGGTCATTACTGCCAGTATTCACTGGATACTTCTTACTACTATAACTTAGTGCTGAGCACCCACCACAATGAATGGTTCAAATAATCCTTCGAGTAAAAGACTCATCCTTGCATCGGTTAGAATCAAACAAGCGCTGCGTAATAGGGTCAAACCCTTCCCTCTGAGATTATCCAACCCTGCTGTGGGATGCATAGCACTTCCCAATCAATTAGCTGTCTTATACCATCGTCTTCTTCCCATCACTGCCACTGACTAAAATTCTGTTGTCCCTTATCCACCTTACGGATGAACCGAGACCACCCTAGTCCCTACTAATCTATCAATATCTGGATTACTGGACTCGTACCGGTCGCTAGTCCTATCATAATCTCTCAGTATCTCCCAACAACTTCCAAAGAAACTTCGGCCACCTAATACTGCTCCATCTACCCTGCCACACTGGTGCTACAAGTCCTAGGATCCTCAGTCCCCCAACTTGACCCTGAGGTCCTTACCAGGTCCCACCTGTGCTACTAAAACTCACGGGCCTCGCCCATGGGTCTCACCCAACTTTACTACCGAGCAACCTTGCTCTTAGGTACCACCTATACAGCTACTCACATACGTGCCTCACCCACGGGTTTCACCCAACTACATCTTGGAGAGGACTCTCTCAAGTGCTCACCTTTCTATGCCTAAGCAGGCTAGATCTATACTATTCTCATCAAATACCCATTCCTGATCCTTACCTTGATCACTAGGAAGTAAGGGCCTCGCCCAAACTCCACTAACTAGGAGATACGGGCACCCCGCCCACTCTCCGCTAACTAAGCTGCTAGGGAATGCTACAGCTACCCAGTAGTCTTACAACACCTTCCACCACTAGCTCGCTGATGGAAAAATGTTTGCGGCTCTTCCGCCACTCTACCATGCTCTACATGCTGTCTCTGTCCATGACTACTAACACGAAAGCATCCCATGCCAACCGTTCTCAAAATCCTCATTCCAAATCTCTCGAGTCCTATAGGCAATTCTCCAACCCGAATTCCAACCAGATACTAACCATTTTAATTACATGAGCTAACTGTTGGGAAGTTTCTCAAGCTCCTAATGTTGAACTCCTGAATCCATCAATCACTGTGCTACTTCCTTTCCTTCTCAGAGGTCGTGTACTCATTCAGGATCTGCATACTCTTACTCTGGTACACTCGGAGTATTCTCCCCCACTTTGATCCTACTTATACTTCGATGCTCAATGCTTGAGAGTAATTCCTAGTCTTCTCTACTATACCCACTACTAGAAAAACAGCCTTTTACGACGCGCAATGCGTGTCATAAAACGCTCAGACGACGCGCAAATGCGCATCAAGAAAGGCCATGTGATAACGAGAGACGACACACATTTACAACACGCAATGCGTATCATTAAAACCCCTGTCAAGAAAGGCCATGTCATAAATGAAGATGACACACATTTTTGCGAATCGTAAATTTAAATGTTAAAAAAAAAATTTATATATTTATTAATTTTTAAATTAAATTTGCATTTAATTTCTCATAATAGAAGTAAAATACCATATACAAAAAATACAATCCATTGCATAATATAAAATAAAATTTCATACTCAAAAAATAAAATAAATTGCCCAAATTATAATGTCATACAAAGAATCATTCAAATGTTAAACAAAAATAATACATTGCTAACATGGGTTATACATTCCTATAAAACTAACAAATAATCATACAACTATGTTTCTTACTGGAAACATTTCAACCCATTCTGCACCACTTTTAGGGATGTTGTCATTATTAGCTATGGTTTTAAATTTTAATTAATAAATGAATATTGTTTATTAAATATAACAAAAAAGAAAGTTCATAACAATAAAGACACATAATTTCCAAAACTCTATTTATTTGGCAACGGAAATGAAAAGAATTACCTTTTTCAGTTACTGCATTTGAGTGCATGGGTAAACCTGAGATCCCATCCACATATCCAAGACAGAGTTCATTGAGACTCTTGATGGCAGAATCTAAATCTTTTCCGCTCCTTTCTAGTGCTTTCTCTAGTAGCTGAAAACATAGTTTGTTTCTTTTCAAATGACATTCATAAACCATAACATAGAATAAAATTAATGTGATTTGAAGTTTGAACAACACTAGACATCAGACATCATAATTCACAAATATTATAAAATGTATTTAAGTGAAGTGGATCTGATTCAGGCCAGACAACAAACACATACAAAGACATTATGCATCTCAAATGCCACTATAGGAAGGAACTTGAATATAAACCCTGTGGTCTATATCTATCAGTAATGTTATATATTTTGGAACCATATCGGAAGAGAACAACAACATATAATGCTCCTAAGAAATCTAGCAGTTCTTTTACTTTTTGTCTGTACACAAACTCATAGTTAAGTTGCTATTTAACACCATATATTAGGTTAAAAGAAGAGAAAGGAAATGAATTAGTAATATTGTATTTTCTATTGGGAAGAAAGTATACGAAAGCAAAATTTTTTAAGATTAATAAGTAACTTGCGGGCCAAAATATCATTCTGTACGTGAAGAATGAGTGGTCTTAGCGACTGTTACGGTGAAGAACCGACAATGGTCTTAACGGCTGTTTTTCGTTCCTGACCTTCATCTGCATCTGTTGGACTCATGCCCTGAAAAGGGTATTTCAATATTCACCTTCTAAAAAGTTCAAGCATGCATGTGTTATGTGTAGTATAATTAATAGGAAACTAAATGGCAACAACTCTATAAATAAACATTGGGATCACTTGAAGGAAGTAAGTTCAAGACTCCTCATGTGCATGGTTGAGGTTTGGTATGCCCAATCCTATGATTAGGATTTTTATTAGCGTATTGATTACTGAATCACACATCTTCAAGTATTCACGAGCTTCATGCCTACAGAAGTAACAAGTATAGTCTTAACGACATTTCAGAAAAGGAAAATAATGAGTTTCTTGTTTAATAAATTGAGCAAACTGTTAAGACTTACGCATGTCTATGACTTACTTGCATACAGATGGCCAGAGTTCCAAGGTTTCTTCATCAGAAACATAGAAACAACTTAGGTGATATTTCCACTCATAAGCTTTGTCAACTTCGGGACTGAAACTTGTAAGGTATCTAAGATCTTTTGAAGGAGTATTCTATGCAAGTTTAATATATATATATATATATATATATATATATATATATATATATTAAAAGAAAAAGAAAAAAAACAAAGAGGGCTTTCATTGATGTTGAAATGGATTAAAAAAAATACCTCCAGATGGTTTAATTAGAGCTGGCAAATTGTTTCCTGAAGCTAGGTTTGGAAGGTTTAAAGCACCACTAAAACTGGGAGCTCTTCTTACTTGATGATGGACATTATCAATAGAAGTCTGATGCCCTTACGCTATCTTGCATCTCCTTGCTTGCCTTTTTGGTGCTGAATAAGACCAGTATTTCGTTTTCCATTCTTCTGAGATGAATCTGCTACACTGACATCACTGTTTATATAATGTGCAACACTAAGTTACAGATTATCCCATAAACACCCTGCAACAACATCATCAAAAGGAACATATGGATTAATAGTCTAGCTAATATGCTTCAACACTTTACAATAGGGTATCAATAGATAAATAAATAAAAGAGAAATGAGATTATTTAAGAGGGATAATAATTTAAATAGAAATAGAAATAGAAAAACGAAACAGTATCGAGCTTTTGTTATGGACAGTTGCTCCTGATAAACCTTCATGAACAGAGGAGTTGGTGAGTTGGACAACATGTAAATACTCCATTACCCTGATTTTAAGCCTCCACACACTCCTAGATGAGGCCATGGTATCATATAGAGCACAAAGCAATTGTAACAGAACCTTAAATCACATAGAAAGGACAAAAAGAAAAAGAAAAAAGATTATGTTTACTACAGCCCCTGTACATGAAATCAAAAGAAAAGAAAGAAAAGAAGGAAATAAATAGAAATAAGTGTGTGTGTGTGTGTAACGGATTGGAAAACTTCTAGCGTATCAAGATTACCATTTTTCATTTCATTTACACGCCATGGTTCAGTCGTTTGGGCATCCTCTGTTCGTTGATGACTAAGGCAGTTAAACTTGTCTTTGACAGCTAGCAGTAATTGGGCAAATAACGAGGATAGATTCAAGATTTCTAAATCAAATTAAATAAAATTAAAAAGAAACAAAAAAAGAAGCAGAACAATGTTCATGTGTTTGTCATTGAGTAGTTGGGTCTCTAAGCTTACTGTCAGAGGTCAGTGGCACATTTGAAGAAAGGCAATCACTTATTCTTAGAGGTCTTTCCCCATGCTTGTTGATCCCGGACATCCCGTATGTTTGTTTATTTTTATTTTATTATTTATTTTTACATAAAATTAAGTTATTAGTACTAAAGTTTTAAATGATTATTCTTTAATAGTTCTTAGTACCTTTTATCTGTTTTTTCCTTCTTTTTTCAAGATATGGAGTACAAACTAGAAGCTATCCTCGAGAACCAGGTAAGTACACATCTAGAATATGATATAACAAAACCTAAACTAAAAACAAAAACAGCAATAGCAAATGTCTCCTACTTGTGTTTCATTTTGTCCCACCTAAATAAATCACAAATAGTAAATGGCTTGATCAATTTGGGGAGGAATCTATTTTATCTCAATTCCAAGTTCTTGTTCAATCATATACCTGTAAAATTTCCACAAACCCACACATTATATTAGCATTCATTTAACATTTAACATTTAAATTAAAAATATGAAAGAAAATACATACAAGTTAAACCGATCTTCATAAGTTATCAGATTCACAGCTAACCCCAGATGTCCAAACCTTCCCTAACGTCCCCACCTACAAATAAACAATATAATAATTTTTCATTTTCAAAAAAATTAATAAAATAAATAAATATTTGAATTTGCCCTGCGCAAATACGTCTCGACGTTCCTTGGAAAGTCAAAATTGATTACAACATTCACGGCTTGAATATCTATACCCATTGTAAACAAATCTGATAACAGTTTCAAGATTAGGGTATATTAGGATAAAACGTATTTTATAATTTGAGTTTTTTATAATTATTATTATACATATATATATATATATATATATATATATATATATATATATATATATATATATATATATATATATATATATAAGCAACAATATCCAAGCTCTGTTATCTTCTTTGCTAATAGCTCTACCCAGTTTACAGAGTTGTAGAATATCATAGATTGGTTGATTTTTAACTATCATAACAATCAGTTCAATTCAATTCAATTCATAATCAATTCATCAATTCAAGAAGGTGCAATATGCTTGCATACTGATAGAGTTGATAGTAATCATGGCCTTGAAGCTTTCAGGAACTTGTACCCCAAACATCAAATTGTCAATATTTCCCTTCTTAATGATTCTACACATGTTGAAAACATAACTCAAATGCTTTGCAACGTGGGTGTTTAACGGTTATCTGCACATGAAGTTTTAAAAGCTCACATCTTTCCAGCTATTACAGATGCAAAAGTTGTTTCAGAAAGTAAAGAATTAATGACTGAATATCTTTCTTTTATAATGTTCCATTTTGAATTAGCTTGCTGTAACTGTATTTACAGAAAGAGAGAATCTACTCACATAAGTGTGTGACACTACTTTTATATCTACAAACTAGGGGACCCAATGACTTTTCGACATGCCAATAAATTTCAGTAAAGAATTCGGGAACCCAATTGATATGAGGAAGTTAATTCATGGAAATGATATGCAATGGTTTGAGATTGATAACAACTATCTGAAGCACCCGATTTCCAAATCCTTAAATGGAGCAAAATCAAAATGGAGAAAATGCTTGCAAGAGTTAGGGGTGACTAATTTTGTGCAAATGGTGATTAACCTACCTGGTAAAGAGCTTACTTCAGGTGCATACATGAACATTGGCTTTAAACAGAAAGAAAAGTTGGTAAAATGAGAGACGTTATCTTTAATATTTTCTACTTACCATGGTCTGTAGTTAACTTCATTGGATCTTTCTCATTGTTCCCTTTTGAAAAATACAAAGCAATCAATTTGTAGCACTAATTTTACCTTGAACCTCTGATTTTTGATCTTCAACATGTGAATGGTTCAAAAGCGCTAATTAGAAATTATGAGGATATGGCAGAAATTGAACTCTGACTTGGGGATGAGGAAGAAAACGAACTCCCATATGCGTTTCTTTTTGAAAAACAGGTTCGTTGGAATGTTGGAGAAATCAAACCAGGTTTCAGGGAGAAGTTTTTGAGTCGATAACATAAATAGTGTAGAGTGAAGTTGGAATTAGGAGAAATCATACCAGGTTTTAGGGGAGAAATCAAACTAGTTTCTTCCTTATTTTGGGAGGACGGACCTGAAGAGATTGAGAAAAGAAATCCCTAGTTGGATGATTTTATAACAAGGAGGATGGACACGGGGAGGTGATCCTATGCTCACCGGAGAAGATGTAAGCGTGAAGATTGTTACAGAGGCCTAGGAGAACCAATCGAGAATCGGAGAGCGTTTTGAACTTTCTTGAAAAAACCCTAGGTAGAATGGTTATTGAAAAAGCACTAGGAATGAGTAAATGAAGGGAGATACGGAGAGATAGAAGAAGCGGAGACTTCAAAATTTTAGAATTTTAGAAGATTTCATTTTTTCCCTTTAAAAACACACGTTTGAAGAAAAAATATGAAGCGACATTTCTAGAGGACACGCATTTAAAACAAGTGCCCTCCGTGTTTTTTTGGACATTAATTTTAAGGCACGCAAAAATGCGTGTTCTCTATTGTTAAAAGTTTGGAAGGTTGACATTATTTTTAAGGACACAAAAAAAATGTGTATCATAAATCAGCGAGTGTCATTGTTTGCACGTCAATAAAGGGTATTTTTCTTGTAGTGGCCGCACTCAATCTGCTGAAAATCCCAAGCTTGCCACGACTAGGGTTCTAACTAATTCATCACTCAATAACACCTTCCTGAATCCAACGGACCACTACTGAGTTCCACACAAGCATGTTATAGTTACTGCATCCTAAGTAACCTGCTTCCATAGGGCACAACCCCCTAACTACCATTTTATTATCCAAGGTATGTAGATGGCATATAACTAAATCACAAGCAAGCCGCCCAATTCTAAAATAATTATACAAATAACGATGCAGAACCATAACAATATAATAATGAATAAAGAAAATAGAAAACATAATACACACACCTGTAACATCCGGAGCTGCTCGCATCTCCATGGTAGTCATCTGAAAATCCCTGCCTCCTACCGAAGGCACCTCTGCTCAGCCCTGACGGTCGTCTGTGATCCTCAGAGTTGCAGGATAAGGTGCTATCACCCGTCCTGCCAGAATCAAACTAGGACACTGGGCCTTCTTGTGGCCCCACTGACTACAGTGGAAACATATCAGGTCTGATCCATGTGTGGTGGTAGTAGTACAATCTCTACTAAAATGACAAGGCTGGCCGCACTTGAAGCAGCGCGAATCTCCACCACTACCACTCCTACACACTCCCTCATGCGTCCTGCCACACCTCCCACATCGGCCGCGGCTCTGGTAAACCTTCGATCTCGAATCTGACCCCGTGGGCCTTTTGCACGAACCTGTGGCTACCTGAACCTCATCCGACTTCCTCTTCCGGATCTATTCCAAATCAATCTCCATCTCTCTAGCCCGAGTTATCATATCCTCCAACGTTTTGCAGCTGTACCTTCTTACAAACATGTTATAACTCAACATCTTGTGGTATCGGGCCTTCTTCATCTCCTCATCCACGACATACTGCGGAACAAGAAGGGCCCTCTCCCTGAACTTGGCAGTGATCTCCGCCATAGTCTCACTAGTCTACGTCAAATCCTGAAACTCCCGTGCGAACTGTTGTACCTCAATAGTTGGTGAAAACTCAGCCCTAAACTTGGCTGAGAAATCGCTCCATGGCATCGTGTCCAACGTGGCATCATCACCAATGGCATTTCTAACCTCCTCCCACCAATCCCGTGCTCTGTCCTTTAGAAGATAGGAGGCAAGTCTGACCTTGTCCCTCTCAGGACACCGACTCATACGGAATGCATTGGCGACATCGGCCAACCACCTGCTGCTGGCAATGGGGTCCCTGACACCATGATAATCTGGTGCTCCGCAAGCTTTAAACTCTCAGAATGTCAAAGTACAAGCTCCCATCAAGGCCATCATCTCGGTACGGAAGGCTCACAACCTCTCATCCAAGATCTCTAGTATACCCTCCTTGTCCGTGCCAAAGATCACAGGAGTCTGATCTAGTATGCTGCGCGTAACCTCTGCTGATACAAACTATCTTATCCACTCCTCGAGCTGCTCGGTTCCTTGACCTGATCCTGATCCCTCTCTGGTGCCTAACCCGCCCACTAGTCTTTCACGCAATGTCACCATGCTGAAAACATATCACAATAACTATCAGAATACTTATCATTGCTGAGGGATCATACACACACACACACACACTACAAGTTTCCCAGGCTCATCTCGACCTTTCTCGAATTGAGTACGGATCCTCTACTTTCTGTAGTAAGGGCCCATACTACCTTCCACATCTATCCTTAATTTCCTCAAGAACTGCTTCGACTCTACTAGGTCCCTTTTTCTACTACTATTGCTCCTAGCACTATCTCGTCCTAGGCTTACCCTAGGGAAACCTCTGACTCCACCCAAACTAGTCCTCAGTTCCTGAAGTCCTCTTTGCGATGCCAATTAGCCATCACCTGAATACCATCGCACGTAACGAGGCTCAAATAATCCTCCGAGTAAAATACTCATCCCTACAACGGTTAGACTCAAACGATAGCTGCACAATAGGGCCAAATCCAGCACTCTGAGATTATTCAACCCTGATCCCATGTGACATGACGTATTCACCTAATGGCTAACTTTCATCACTTAGAATCCCACAATGCACAAAGCAAGCAACATTAAGACAAGGGCTAATCTGACTATAACATACTCAAGCAATCATAATCTAATATCAAGAATCTGTACTAGCATGCAGCATAATCTCATATACTCAGGCGTAATCTAAATAGTCTACCCTACTACTGTCTAACTAGTATCATAATGCAGCTCAAAAGCACATATAACGGGCACATAAGGTATCCTCCCTAGATCCTTAGTCCTAATCTAGCATGCGGTTCTACTAACTGATAATCATAACATAAACTTGTATGGGTATTTTGGGGTACTTACTTGAGCTCGACTGATTGCATGCACCACACCCTTTTCTCTTATCAAAGTTCTTTTATTTCTGAATTCTTTTTGCTTTTCTAAAACTGTTTCATTTCT